GAGGAGACGGCTGGCACCCTCTGGCCCTGGCAGAGTGGTCGAGCCAGGCAGGCATTGAGGAACTGAGCCGACTCCAGCAGAGGCCCAGGCTGGGGGCACCTGCGGAGGACTTACAGGGTCACACTTTTGCCCAGGCCACCCAGGGGAGAAGGCTGTCCCACCCGGAGACACGGGTCATGTGGGGCTCCCGGGAGCTGCTTGTAGCGTGGTTGCTGGTGTTGGCAGTGGGCGGCATGGAGCATGTCTACCGGCCTGGGTGAGCCGGGGCTCAGGCCTCAGGGTGCTGGGGGGGGCGGGGGTCCTCAGCCCCTCACCGAGGCAGCCCCCAGTATGTGGGAGAGTCCCTGTGGGTTCCCCGGGGCTGGGAGGGTCCTGGTTCTGAGATTCCCTGGCTGACCCCCAGCCACTCCCCAGCCGCAGGGTATGTGCTGTTGAGACTCCCAGGGGCCCTGTCTCTGAGTCCTTCGTGCAGCCCGTGTACCAGCCCTTCCTCACCACCTGCGACGGGCACCGGGCCTGCAGCACCTACCGGTGAGTGCACCTGCCCGTGCCAGGCCCACCCAGCCCCATCCAAGACGCCCCCATCTGCCACACGCCAGCCTGCCTGGATGTGATGAGCCCTGGGGCCCAAGATGGGAAATCGAGGCCAGAGTGCTAAGAGGACTCCCTGAGACGGACGTCCCCAGGGTGGCCTGAGTGCAAGGACATCACCTTGTCACGTCCAGTACGTGTCTTCATTCCTGCCCCGATGTGTTTGAAAGGCACCCCTGGCGTGGAGGGTTGCCCATCCTGCCTGCACCCTTCCCTGCCCCAGCAAAACTGGCTGCAAGTTCCCATCCACTGGGAGCCATGCCTGATTCTCCAGTCCTGTCCTGGGGCCCCAGGGGACACTCCCTCCCTCTGTTGGCCCCCAATGGGCCTAGCCGGAGACCCTGAGGTGTCCTGTGCTGCCTGCCGGAGGGGTGTGCGTCCCTGCTTCCTTCTGCCTTAGCTGCCATAGTAGCTGGGACTACAGGCATGCGCCACCACTCCTGGCTAATTTTTTGATTTTTTTGTAGAGATAAGGTCTCGCTATGTTGCCCAGGCTGATCTGGAACTCCCGGACTCAGGCCATCCTCCTGCCTTGGGCTCCCTAAGTGCTGGGATGATTAGCATAAACCACCACACCCAGTCAACTTCTGAGCATCCAGGTGCCCAGAGCCCAGGCCAGGGATGGCCCAGGCAAGCCCCTTGCTCTGGGCCTACATGCCCCGTAATAGAGGCTGTAATGGAGGGGTATATAGGCCAGGGCGCTACCTCTGCTCTCTGCTGGGCGCAGCTGGACCTCCCGCAGCCCCTCAGGATCCTCTCATCACCTGAATACCCGGGCAGAAGATTGAATGCCCAGGTGGGGAAGCGGCTTGTGTAGTGACCCCACGGTGCCATCTCCTGGGGAGGGGAGCTCTGGGGCCACACCGGGGTGACCTCCTCCATTCTTGAGAGGCGGCTGCAGGCGGTTGGTGGGAAGGGTGGGGTGCCTGTCTGAGCTGCTGTGCCCGCCCCACAGGACCATCTATAAGACCGCCTACCGCCGCAGCCCAGGGCTGGCTCCCTCCAGGCCACGCTACGCCTGCTGCCCCGGCTGGAAGAGGACCGGCAGGTTCACCGGGGCGTGCAGAGCAGGTGAGGGTGGTGGCCCCGGACTGCTCTGCCCCGAGTACACAGGCAGCCACTCCCTGGACCTCCCACCCTGCTCTGGTTCCTTCCCTCCCTCCAACTCTGGGCCAAACTTTCCTTGCTAGAGCACCCCTTCCCTGGCGACTGCCTCCCAGGGCACGCCCTACCCCCTAGTTGGTGACCGGTCCCTCCCCCCCACAGCAGTGTGCCAGCCACCATGCCGGAATGGAGGGCGTTGTGTCCAGCCTGGCCACTGCCACTGCCCTGTCGGATGGCACGGGGACACCTGCCAGTCAGGTGAGGCTGGCTCCGCCTCCCGGGGGCATGGGAGGGTCCTCTGGGCACCTCCCTGCGTGTCCTGGGGTTGCCACTGGCCAGAGCTGATGGGCCATTAACGGGAGTGTCTTGGGGGGGCTCAGCGGGGGACCCCCTTCCTGCAGGCACGCCCACCTGATGCCCATCCACTTCCCGCAGACGTGGATGAGTGCAGTGCCGGAAGGGGTGGCTGTCCCCAGCGCTGCGTCAACACCCCGGGCAGTTACTGGTGCCAGTGCTGGGAGGGGCACAGCCCATCTGCAGACGGTACCCTCTGCCTGCCTGAGGGAGGGACCCCCGGGGTGACCCCGAGCCCCACGACAGGTAAACTCTTCCCCGCCCCGATGCCTGGCGGGGGGTGGGGGCGGCGACAGGCAGGTGGTGGCGCCACCCCGTGGCTTCGTGTTGGGCACAGTGGGGGCAGCAGTGGTGCCCAGGTATCCCGGGCTGGTGGGTGGCTCTGCTCCGGGCAGAAGGTGGGCAGGGCTCTTTCTCAAGGAGGAGAAGGAGGGCTGGGTGGGTTTCTGAGGGTATGGGGGGGAGGTGTGGACAGGGCAGAGGACTGCCCTGGGGCGTCATCTCAGCCGTATCTGCATCCCTGCCTGGGCCTCCTGGAAGACGGCGTGCCTCCGCTGGTGACGGGACATTATTACTTTTGGTACGCGCTGTGACACTTCAAACTCGTACCGTGAGTAATAATGCGCCGTCAGCAGCCCGGCATCGAGAGCTCCGTATGACCTCAGCCCGGACACCCCCTGTCGGGACACCCTCGGCCCGGCCAGGCCAGTGAGAGCAGGGCAGGCCCGAGACCTCCAGCCAGCTCCTGGTGGACAGCGGGGCCTGTGGAGGCCTGAGCCTGAGCCTCTCCGGCTGTCCCCCTGGGATCAGAGGCCAGCCTCGGGGTGTGGGGTGGAGGCCGGCCCTCCCTGACTCAGCATCTGGCTCTGTCCCTAGGTGCAGACATGGCTGTAAAGGAGGAAGTTCAGAGGCTACAGACCAGGGTGGACTTGCTGGAGGAGGTGAGGCCTGGGCTGGGGCTGGCAGCCGGCTGCTGGGTCACAGTGGAGGCCCCGGCCTGGGGTGAGGCCCGCAGCCTCCTGTGGCCTCCTGGCACGTGGTTCTGACGCACTGGATGGCTGTGGGGGGCCTGATGGGGGTGGTCTGTGAAGACCCTGGCCCCAGGGAGGCTTCCTTGCTGCCGATGGCTCAGGGGACTTCATGCCAGGCGGGGCAGCTGGACATTGACTGGGACATCCCAGGACAGAATTCGTCACGCTTGGCCTCCTCCCAAGCCACACACAGAGCCTCAGCCTGACCGGAGCCCACGCAAGGGGCTCGCCAGTCTTCCACTGGCCATCATCCCGGTGACCCCTCAGAGGCTCCAGCCTGCCCCTCCTGGCTCCTCTGCTGGGGACCCTGAGGCTGAGAGCGCCTGGCCAGCACCCCCCCCAGTCTGATGTCCCCGGGCGCCTCCGCAGACTCTAGGCCCTTCTGGTGCGACAGCACCCCCTGGTGGACGTCCTGAGCCCTGCCGCTAAGGCTGGCTCGAGGTGTAGAGTCCTTACCAGTAAATTCTTGGGGACCAGAAGGCGGGGCTGGCCCAGGTCACACGGCCCTCCCAACCCACAGAAGCTGCAGCTGGTGCTGGCTCCACTGCACAGCCTGGCTTCACAGGCCCTGGAACATGGGCTCCCCGACCCCGGCAGCCTTCTGCTGCACTGCTTCCAGCAGCTGGGCCGCATCGACAGCCTGAGTGAGCAGATCTCCTTCCTGGAAGAGCAGCTGGGGTCCTGTGAGTGCCGTCCCCAACCAGGGGCTCCCCGGGGGCCTGAGACCCAGCGGGGCTGCCCAGGCTAGGGGGCAGAGTGAGGCTGGTCGGCCAAAGCGAGGGGGCGGACCAGGCTGGGCTGGAGGACTGTGGGGAGCAGTGACCTCTGACCCCAGCCGCCTCATCCCACCGTAGGTTCCTGCAAGAAGGAGACGTGACCAGCCAGGCCCCAGCCCCGTCTCAACCCAGGCTGGACCGAGCCACTCCCCTTCCCTCCCTGCTGTGCCCCCACCCTGTGTTCCTCCCCAAGGTGCTAGGCACCCAGACGCCAACCCTGACGGTGACTGTGAGCAGAGGGTGAGGGAGAGCTGGGGCATGGGCCGGGGGTCTTCTGTGTGAATCCACCTCCAGCAACCCCGAGGGCCTTCCAGGGCCCGGCGGGCTTGCAGCTGAGGGATGGTACGAGCCCTCTGCCCAGAGCCTGGGGTGGTAGTTCTGGGAGGGCAGCCTGGCGCGGGCGGGGGCGGGGGCAGGGCCTGTCCCCTGATGTCACAATAAAGACGAGACTTGAGCCACCCCATCAGTGGATGCATGGGCGGTCCCTGGGAAGAGAAGCCCCGCTGTGCTCGGCATACGGGTGGTACGCTTACGGCTGCCCCACCCAGCCTCATTGCCGGTGCAGGCTGGCACAGGCAGGCAGGAAGGGGGTGGGTCCCTCATCTCCAAGAGGGGCTGGACAGGTGGCTTCTGTGAGGCCCCATGGGGACAGTTTTGTCCTGATGCTGTGCTGGCCCCACTCCCATCAGAGGTCCAAGAGCAGACAGACCTCCATCCCCTGTGTCCTGGGCATGGATGCCCCTCAATTATGGGGACGCCCACATACCCACTGACAAAGGTGGCAGTGGATGACTGTGGGCCCATCTGCTGGACGGGAACACTGGCAGGGACGGGGGACGCCCAAAGGGAGGGCGGGGCCTGAAGCAGCCCCTGCCTGCCCAGGAGTGACCACAGCTTGCCAGATACTTCCAAGAGTCCATTTATAAAAAGTTACAACCAAGCGCAGCACTGACTCTGCAGTTTCCTGGCCGACCGGCCAGGCAGCCCCCGCGTCCGAGCTCCCTGGGCCTGGGTGGTGTCAGACTGGGCGTCTGGGTCCTCCTGGCACCTGCTTTCCCTGAAGGCCTGATGCAGGCCTGACCTGGAGGGCCCTGGGCAGCCAGACTAAAGGCACCAGAGAACAGGGCAGGTGGGCAGGCGGGTGGAGGCTTCAGTTACAGCCGTCTAGCTGCCCCTGGGCCACCCCAAGGGCTGGCAGCTCTGGCCACCCATGGGCCAGCCTCCAGCCTCCTCTTCCACCCTCCCAGATCCTACAGAGGGGCACGTCCTTGCCCACAAGCCTGGGAGGGTCTGGCTGACTCCTGATGGGGACGCGATGGTCTTGGATCGGAAGCCAGTGACAAGGGGCTTCCTGCTTCCAGGGCCAGAATGAGACCTGGGCAGCTGGGGAGGCCGGACACAGTGATATTTGGCAGCCTGGGCAAGGGAGACCCTCTGTCCATCTTGAGCTGCCTGCCTCCCGCCTGCCCTCCCCTGGGTCCTGCCCCAGCCTGTGGCCTGGGCTACTGGGCTGGCTGTACACCAGGTCCTGCGGTGGCCCCATTCTCCTGGGACATCTTGGAAATGTGGAGAAAGGTGTTCCTCATGGCCTGGTGGCAGGTGTCCACGAGCTTGGGGATGTCGGCCTCGGTGAGGCCGCTGGTGGGGATGGCGTCCAGCACCTGCACCCTGATCGTTCCTGCGGTGGGAGTAGCGGGCATCAGCAGCAGGCTGGGGGTCCCGGCCCCTCCTCGCCAAAACCACCCAAAGCCTCTCCCCTGAGAAGCCTTGGAGGCCGGGCTCTTCCCCCGGGCTCCCTGGCCTCAGGGGTTTATTTTTGGTTTTTTTGGAGAGAGAGGGTCTTGCTATATTGCCCAGGCTGGTCTCAAAACTCCTGGCCTCAGATGATCTTCCCACCTCTGCCTCCCAAAGTACTGAGATTACAGGCTTGAACCATCACACCTGGCCCATTGTGGGGGCTTGTTTTTAATAATGGTAACATTGGCACAGTAAGACACACAGCTTCTAAGCATATGCCCAGGGGGTTTCGACAAGTCTCTATGCCCAGAAAGTTCCCTTGGTCATTTCTGATCAGCTCCGGGTTCTTCTGCCTGATTCTACCCTCCATGGTGTACGAGGCCTCTCTCCTCTCATTGCCCTTTAACCTTTGACCCCACCTGGGCCCCTGTGCGGGGTCAGGACATCCTGCCTGGGACCTGGTGTCTGGATGGAAGGGGCAGAGGCCCTAGATAGAGAGACAGTGCAGTGTGACCTGCGTGGGCAGTCAGACTTGGACACATGGGCTCAGAGCCCGCCCCCAGCACAGGGAGAGGTTCCTCCAGCCCCCCAAGCTGTGTGCACAGTCCAGGCCCACCTGTGTGAACTCGAGTGCCAGCCCACTTTCAGAACCTCAGATTCCTCATCTGAAAAATGGGCCACGCCCCTCACAGGGCCATGGGGGAAAGAGTGCAGTGAAGCCACACTAGCCAACTTGCTCATTCCCGGCGGGCAGTGTGGGGCAGAGGCCCAGCCCAGAGCAACTACTGGAAGTGGGGCTGTTCTGGGAGAGGCTGGAGGTCCCTGAGGGGGGCTGGGGTCCCTGAAGGGTCAGACCGCAGCGGCCCCGAGTGCAGGGGGGTGAGCGTACCTGAGGTGAAGAGCTTAGTCTTGCTGTCGTAGAAAGAGGAGAAGGAGGAGTACACCACAGGAATGATGGGCACCTGCGGGCGGGGACACAGGCAGACTGAGGCAGCCCCGGCAGGCTGGGGAACCCAGTCCTCAAGAACCAGCCCTACCCTGCGTCACCGTCCTCCCACTCCCTGGCCCCAAGAGTCTTTGTGACTGTCCTGCCTCAAGGCCTTCCACACCTGACCCCCGGGACACCTGCCGTGGGCGGGGTGGCCCCATGTTCCAGAAACTCACCCTGCCAAGCTTCACTCATCTCCTCCAGGAAGCCTTCCTGAGCTAGCACACGTGTTTGCCTGATTCACATCTGTCCCCTCTACTGGGACATTCACCGGGGGGCAGGGCGCTGTCCAGCTTAGCTGGGGTGGTCACTGAGGTCTTCCCTCCCTCCTCATCTTCTTCCCCATCTCT